AAAGCACACCCGTTCATGACCGTCGGTGGCCGACTCGAGATCGATTAGACAAACCCACCCGTACAAAACCAATTATCAATTTAATCGATTTAATCTGACCCGAATCAATTTCTAATTAAATTTCACCGTAGGCTCTAAAAATTATGTCAATCACAACGACGTAATCAATTTCGGGTTCTGTGGCCGATAAGGCCTCCAATTTAATTTCCGAAGCGGTAGAATCAAACAGATATTCCTACGGTGAACAGATAGAAATTCAAAACCACATATTTTCACACAAAATCATATTAAACATACAATCATACTCGTATTAAGGACCAATTAACACATTACGGAACAGGGGTATTACAGTATGTGCTTATTTGTCATTTTGATTAATTAGGTACTGATGGGAATGTGTTTTTTTTTTTTCTTCCAAACATTCATTGTTGGTTAATACATTCAGTTGTATTCACGTGTAAAAGGGCACGAGAATGTAACAACACAATCCTTTGTGAACTTAATATTTTTGTTTGACTTTTGGTTATGATATCAAAGCATTTTGACATCAATTGATATTTGGGGCCAGATTAAAGCATTCTTGAATCAGTGGTTGACGGAGTTGACAAATAACGAAACTCTGTCCTTGCAACATCAAGTCCAGGCAGTTGCTCCTTTAGTGTTGCAGCAGTATTCTTCTGATACAATTCAGAAGATGTTGTCTGATGTTTCTTTGGCCATCTCTTCACTGACAAATAGAAAAACCAAGGATCAGATCATGATTCTCAACTCAAAAAGGTGCAGCATTCTTGTTTTTCAACAAGCTTTATACCTTGTCCATTTCCTTCACCGTCAAATTTCTTCTCCCGCACTTATTGTTTACGACACCAATCTGTATTGAGAATTCACAAATGACAATTATATTATATTTACATGACTTTTCTTTTGGTATTTGATTGATGCATATTTTGCGCGATCCATGCCAATTAGTCTTTGCATTTTTGGTTGTTGTTAGGAATCAACTGTCTATTGTAATGACCGATTCAGAAGTTTTCTATCCTGATCTTGATGGTTTTTACCCAGTAACTGCAGTTTGCTTGATTATCCCTCTCCCTCCAGTCATGCACATTACTAGTATTTTGGTTTCATGATGCCATGCTTATTATTCCTAATGAGTTGTGACAATATCAAGTATTGACTGTAGTGTGCATCTAATTTTCAGATTTCTCGATAGACTAGTGAGTACACTAGAGGAAAAGAAACACCACCAAGTGAAGTTAAATGAGGGGTTGAAGGACTTGTCTGCCAAACGGATGGAGCTACAAAATTCATTGACATCATTGTGGCCAAAGCAGGTGAGTTCATTCCTTTGTTGCTTAATTTAAGACACGGTGCTTTTGTAAGTATGCTGCTCATCCTTTTCAAAGTTAGCTTTGTGGAATTTCTTCTTGTTTTTTCCTCGACTTATAAATGTTGACTTGTATTTGAATCTGCTTAAAATGATTAAGGTGGCAGACCTTCAGTTCTTCTACTCCTAGTTATTCACTGAATTCTCTTTTAGCTCCGTTGTCATATATGTTCATTTATTTATTAGAATCGTAGATTTAAGGACAGATTTGATCAAGCTTGTATGTATTATCCAATGAAATAGTTTAGTCTTCATATGTTAATCTTCTGATTATTAACCTCAATGTTTATGCATGCAGCCTCTTGTATCAGGTGCCGCTATAGGATTGGAAGGGCAGGTAAAAAACAGTATTAGCAATTTTCTCACTAATTCCTATATGAACATGTGGAAAACTCTTTATATGGATTTGGGACTACAGAATGTAATTAACTCTTTTTTATATTGTTCAAATTCTTACTGCAACTGCATCCTCAAATCATTTGTGTAGCTTACAGTTTACAATTACAATGGAGGTCCATGTTATCGGTGCCTATTTCCAACTCCACCTCCTACGACAGCATGTCAAAGATGCTCTGATAGTGGTGTTCTGGGAATCGGTAAGCCATTAATATGTTCTGTCTTAGTCCATTCAATTAGAAATATTGCCTGCAATCTTGAATTTAAAGAGAGAAAAATCTGAGTTTGCCTCAGAGTTGCCCTTTAGCTGTCTGTCCTTGTTTGCATTTCTCGAGTCCCTTGCATATTTCTAGTTTATCTCGTTACTAGAATTCTGAATAAAATTTATTATTTATCAAAAAAAAGAACTCTAATTCGACTCTACTTTCAAAGCCATAATCTCAATTGCTTTAAGTTTTGAAAAATGAAGTCATAATTTTTTTTTTATATTTTTTTTTGGTTTCATTCCATAATCATGGATGTAATCACTTTAATACATTACCAATGTTGACTACCACAACCTGGATGAGCCAAAATTTATGACAGCTCACTGAAAGGTGAAGGCATAGCAAAGGATTGCGGGGTTCCTTGGGACAAGATCTCAGAAAACCTCAGAGCACGGTGAATAACTGAGAAGATGATCTGCAGATTCTTAGTGCCTTGCAGGATTTGTTGACAACATTGCATATTGTGGTCGTGTCATAATTTGTGTTCTTTTTCCTCAGCTATCAGTTTTTTAGTTGCCTAACACAGTACTTTGTCTTTATGTGGTGGACCTTGAACTTGTCATGGGAAGGCATAGGATGACACTAAGAAAGATGCTTTAATGTGCAAGCTATTGTGTACATATTTGGAGTCTCCAGTCCAGTCCTTATTTCCTCACAAATTCACCTGGCTTGCAAGTGATGTATTTCTTTTATTTATTTGCTCTACTTTTATATAATTTTACAGTTCCTGGTATTATTGGCTGCCAACAAGCCCTTGAAGCTATAAAGATTGCAAGTGATGTTGGTGAACCACTCTCAAGAAGGATGCTTCTTTTTGATGCATTGACTGCACAGATTTGTATCGTATGTTTTAAAAAATTTCAGTTTTCTATTAATAAATTCTCTACTCTATATTTATTTTTTATTTTTCTTCCAGCATAAACATCCTCTATATTTGTTGAACTTAGTGGACATGCCCAGTCAATTCCCTTTTTTTTTCAATTAGCCTTGTACCATGATTTTGCTTAGGTCAAGATCAGAGGGAGGTCATCACAATGTGAAGTTTGTGGAGAAAATGCGACATTCACCGAAAAGCAATTTCAAGAGTTTGACTACGAGAAATTCACACAATCTCCCTTGTCCATGGTATGTTTATGTTCTTTTATTTCCATTTTAGGCTGCACATTGTGTTTTGATTAGCTTGCTTGAGATTTATTTGGTCTTAAAAGTTATATATTTCCTTCAATACTACAGCCAAGAATGCTACTGACAGTAGATGAGAACTTGAAACCTCTGTCAGTACCTGTGCGGGTGGGCCAAGCTGTCGATGTTGTTGGCCAGGCAGGTCGACCCAAGACCATTACTGGTTTCCAGACCCACTCAACACCGGTTCTTCTGGCTGCTGGTGATAGAGCGGAGCTTGCTACTGAGAAGTACTACATTCTATCCCTTGCTAGTGTAGAATTTATTCAAGACTGAAGCCTAGAGAAACAACCAAATCTCATGAGAACGTGGACATAACAAATCACATATTGCAACATAATGCACGTACCGTATTGTTCTATGTGTGAGATACTAAGCATATTTTATGACCTGAATGCATTTATTAGCATTTGTTGTAATCCTAATGCCATCAAACTTGCTAGCTGGTTTGTTGTCTATTTGGTTTTATAGATCAGTCTGTTGGGTGCATAAATTTCCTCTTATCTTCCTCACCCTCGTGTGACCATCTTCCGATTGATTGCAGACTCCATTGAAGCTAGACCTGCTTCCTACAGAAGCTAGAATAAGCGGCAAGGAATACAAGGAGAGAGTTGTTAACAATCTCAAGATTTTAATTGTGCATTACTCGGGTATTTTATTATAGGGATGGATATATATATATATTTTTTTTCTTTTCTTTCCCCACTAGCAGATGGTGGGGGAAGGAGGTCAATGTTTCTGATCTTGTTTACTGGTACCTTCATTATAGAAGCATTTTGTTGACTTTCTCGTGACTAATTTAATGATTTAAGTGTAATAAATTTGCCACTAATGGTTCTGAGTGAAATGATTCGACTTTGTTTCATATTTCAGTGCACCAGTCACATTCTAAAGCAGTGAAGAGAGCCATCAGTGAACATTGTGGTGTATGGACAATCTCAATGCTTAGTTACTTTTACTGTTTCCAGTGCATTGGTATAAGGTTAGCTTGGTAAACATTGTGGTGTACTTGAATTGAGTGTTTTTATATAACTCACTCTCCTAGTGTAAACATGACAGCCAATGAATTAGTTTGAATTTTTACTTAACTTCTGTTAACCTGATGGCTTAAAAGTTACTAAGAATTGTATAGTTTTGAGGGCTGTTTGAACAATTGATGGATGACAAACATGGTAAACAGATTTCTAAGCATTTTGTATAGTTTTGTTACTGGTTTTGTTTGATTTGTTTTTTGACTGTTCTGGTAAATGAGGTAAACTGCTGTGTCAATTCTGATTTGGTTATATGATTTTGTTTGGGTTACTGAGTTGAAATGGTTTTCTGAACTGGTGAAGATCTGTGTTGAATCAGTTTGCTGATCTGCTATACTAATCTGCTATTCTTCTGGTGCTGCTGTGATGCTGTGGTGATGTTGTTGTGATGGTGATCGTTACGATGAGGTGCTGCGGTGTTGTTGTTGGATGTTTGCTGGTGTTGTTGATGTTTGGAAGGGTGCAGGACTTTTTGTCCAATCTGTAATAGATCAGGTTTTCATTAATGGGGGTTGTCATTAGGTGTAAGTTCGAGCAACTGCTAGTGTTTGGATGGAAGGGTATGAAGGGGGTATTTTGTGTGATTTCATATCAATGTTATTAGTTTGTTATAGTGGTGCCTGAGGGATGCCTCTTGTAAAACTGTAAATCTTTTAAAAAATTATAAATGAGTTTCAATTATTTTTGCCGCTGCAAATTTGACGTTGTTAAAAAGTAAAGCTTTTTCGACAAATAACTTGTCGGAAAATGTGTAGCCAAAAGTTTATTTTTGCCCACTCATATTGTGTTGCTAAAAGTGTATTTTTTGCCAATGCCAATTTGTTGTAGCCAAAACTAAAGCTTTATCGACAACCAAATCGTTGGCAAATGGCAACATTTACCGACGTAAATGTGTTGCTAAAAGTTACTTTTCCCCACTCATATTGTGTTGGTAGAAGTGTATTTTTTGCCAATGCCAATTTGTCGTTACCAAAAGTAAAGCTTTAGCGACAAACAAATCGTTGGCAAATGGCAACATTTACCAACATAAATGTGTCACCAAAAGTTTACTTTTGCCGACGCATATGTTGTTGCTAAAAGTATATTTTTTGCCCATGCATATTTGTGTCGCGAAAAGTGCCACACAATCATCATATTTGAATGACTTTTACCAACGCAAGGTAAATTGCCGACGATGGATGGAGGTTTTTAGCGACGACTATGTTCATCGCTAAAGGTATTACTTTTACAAACGCAATGATAATTTCGTCGGCAAAAACTTTTGCCAACTCACTTTTGCCTACGGGTTGCCAACGTAGCTTTGTGTGTCGGCAAAACTCTTTGCCAACGAATTTTCCCTTTTAGCAACATATTTTGTTGCGTTGCGAAAAATGCAATTTCTTGTAGTGACAGTGTCACAAATCAATCTCCACTGCACAAGATGAAACTATTGATGAGCTCTCTAAGTTTTCCCAAAGGACTAAGGTCAAAATCACAATGGATTTGGAGTAATTATTATTATTATTATTATTATTATTATTATTATTATTATTATTATTAATTTCATTGACTTGTAATGTAGATGGAGACCCAAAATGAGAATGCTGAGGATAATAGCTTTTTTAGATAGCAATGGCCTTCTAAATAGTAGTGAGCCGACCCTTTACAATGAACCCTGACCAAACCACACATTTGTAATGTTATACAAATAAGTTTTTTATACAAAAATTTTAAACACAATGATGTGTCTCATTTATATCTATTTATTGAAAATCAAAAATGTTATTGTCATATTATTCTATTCTTAAATTTTACAAAAAATTAGTGTATGAATATCAATTTTTGTAAATATAAACAGAAAACTGAAAACGTAAGTGTTATCAAACAGCACCTGTATGAATATCGTTTTTTTTTACAAGGTAACTTAACAACCAAATGAGCACTTCATTTTGGGTGCTTTAAAATACACTCTTTAATTTTTATATTTTTTTATTTACATATAACACATGCTTTGTAACACTTATACAACTGTTGTACAAATAGGTGTAGAGATTTGATTAGTGGGTGCATTTAGAAACTCCTTATTTTTTCCATCTACATTCTTAGCAATTGTGTATAGCTATTAATTGTGTTATCAACAATTAGAAGGACGAACTCCAGAATGAACTGTAAATTCAAACGTCTTTTGGACTTAAATAATAGTTTAGTGAGATTCCTTGTAAAAAAAAAGAAAAAGAAAAGTAAAAATAAAAGTGACAGGTTAAATTCTTAAGAAAAAAATAATTTGTCTGCAATCTAAAATTGTTGCTTCATTTCTTTGCGTAATCAAGAAATAAGCTTTTAAAAAATAGAACAAAGTTTTATTTGTCTAAAGCAATATGTGATTTAACAATTACACTCACTTAAATAAAAATCTGAAGGAAAAAAAAAAGGTGTAAACCTACTTTGCAAAGTAAAGAAAAGAAAATGAAGCAAAATGCTTTTTGAATATTTGGAAGGAGAAGAGGAGAAAAAGGAGAAAGCGGAGGAGAAAAAGAGAAGAGAAGAGAATATCTCACCTCGATCGCCGATCGGCTTTCAGTGTGTCACTCGTTGTTGGTTGGATGACGCCGTCGTTGTCGTCGGTAGATGGGTAGGGTTTTTTGGGGAGAGAGAGAGAGAGATAGAGAGAGAGAGAGAGAGAGAGAGAGAGAGAGAGTCTGTCAAAGAAAAGGGTTGAGAAAGAGAGAGTGTGTCTCTATCTCTTATGATGGGTGTAAACAATATATAAAAAAAAAAAATTTGAGAGTAACGGACGGGTCAGGTTGAAATGGCTGATCAACCACATCCCAACCTGAACCCGTGAAAAGGCAGAATCCTGGCCCACATCCACCCGCCACGTGTCACGCATCCATCCATATGTGGTGGGGTCTGGTCGGGTCGGGCAAATTTGGCCGGTTGGCGGATTCGCTGCACAACTCTAACATATGATGCTCTTTTAAAAGTGGAATGTTATATCTCTTCCACTAGTGGAGCCTATTAAATTTGAAAGAACCATTATGCTTGTACATGTAAGTGGATTTATGAATCAGCATTAGGTTAGGTTGACCCATGAATCAAAATTATAGGCCCAAACCATATCCAATAGACTTAGGCCCCTTTTGGAAGTGGGTTATAATCCACTTCCAAATTATAACCCACTTCCCTCCCTCATAAAAAGCTGATTATAATCAGTTTTTAACCAAAAAGTTGATTATAACTATTTTTTCAAAATAGCCCTTAGTCTAGACAAACTGAGTTGTGTGCTTAACCAATAAATTAAGACTTAAGTTATATATTTTTTGAGTTATTATTTATTTTTTTTAAATATTTTCCCTTATTGTTTCATTTTTTCCATTTTTCATTTTTAAATTATTATTTTATGAGTGGTGACTGGTTTTATCTTTTTTCCTATTCTTCTAGTTGTTGGAAATGGTTATAAATTCTGGGTAAAATCAGAATTTTATCCTAAGTTCGGTCTATTTTTTAGGTAGGTCCCGTGCGTCGATTTTCACGGGTCAAAGTGGTAGCGCATTCTATACCGCGTTGTGATTCACGTGGTATATTTGGTTGCTCAAAACCATTACCGAGTGAATGGGAAATTGAAGCCAAAGTGTGCTCCATGGAAATGGAGTTTTGGTGGAAATTCCTTAAAGTTGTAAAATGGCTTGTCCCACATTGATTTGGTGGGAGGTTTTGAAAGGGTTTATAAGGCTTGGGTTTGGTACTTGGGGTGTGCCCTAAGGGGTACCCAAGTGTTTTAGAGGGAGAGGTTATGGGCAAAATGGGCTAGACCCATTGGACCCAAAAATCACCACACACATGCGCGCGCGCCGCCGCCGCCGTCCGTCTGGTCGGGCGGGCTGGGCCTGGGCTTGGGCACGGGTGCATGGTGTGAGGTTAGGTTGGGCTTGTTCGGCCCAATACTAATCTTTTTGAGCCAAAAACATTTGAATGTAATTTCATAATTCTGCAAACATCCTCTTCATTTTGCTGCATTATTTTCTTGTCAGAGAGAGTATAAACACTTTGTGTATTCGTTAGACAAACAATTTGTAGTTCTGCTATTATTTGTAGTAGATCATTTTATCCTGGGAGATAGACGTCCACATTCTGAAAGTACGATGGAGAGGACGAATCTGTCTTAAGGACACAGTGTTAAACACTGGACTTGATCAGATAGTTATTCAAAAGAAATTAACCAAGTAAGTTGTTTAATTTTTATTCTGTTTTTTTTTTATTTATTTAATCAGATTTTAATTTTGTTTTTGTAACAAAATAAAATCTGTTTTTATTTATTTATTTATATTTCGAGTTTGATTTTTGTAATCAAACAAATTCTCTCATTTTCTTTATTTCTTTATATTCTTGTTGTTGTTTTGTACACAACAGAATTTAATCTATTTAAATACAGTGAAGATTGTCCAACAATCTTAAGACAGACTCCTTTTTGGTATCTTCATTGTATTTAATTTTCTGTGTTTTCAAACTAATATTCTGGTTGGAAAAAACAAATAGTGATTTATGCTATTTGACAGATAGTAGTAATATACTGTCTCTTTTCTTTGACAACTAGTAGTAATATACTGGTGTCATTAACAATTGCAGAACATTATTAGATGTTACAGAAAATTATTTTGGTATTTTATTTTTCTAGTTTTAGTAACAAGGAAAATAAAATTATATTATTTTCTAGTTTCAATAACAAAGAAAATAAAATTATTTTGTGTTTTAATTTATTTTCTGATTTTGGTAACTAGAAAATTATTTTGTGTTTTTCCTGATTTTTGTAATCAGATATTATTTCGGTATTTTATTTTTCTAGTTTTTGGTAACAAGAAAAATAAAATTATTTTATTTTCTAGTTTTAGTAACAAGAAAAATAAAATTATTTTGTGTTATAATTTATTTTCTGGTTTTAGTAACTAGAAAATTAATTTGTGGTATTTTATTTTCTAGTTTTAGTAACATAGAAAATAAAATTATTTTGTATTATAATTTATTTTCTGGTTTTAGTAACTAGAAAATTAATTTTGTTAATCAATCATGTAACTTTGTGTATCGGTCACAATCTGTAAATTTTGTACATGACTTACGATTTCGTTTGTAAGATCACTTAATTTTGAACTTTTGTGAAAAGGTGTTAGTTCTTTTGACTTTATCGTAGTACAACATGGGAGAATTTGTTTCTAGAATAAAATATTAGTTTTACAAACTAATTTCATTTTTATTAGGAAGAAACCTTTATGGCAAGATTATTTTCTTTATTGGTTTTCTGAATCATTCTTTATTT